TTGCAGTCTAGCTTACCCATTGTTCGAGACCCAGAGAGTTGAGGGAGTCATGAAGGACGAGGAGATCCTAACAACAAAATGTGGGGTTATTATGAATAAGCATGAGAAGTGGGAATCTGAGGCAATTGCATGTATGAAACTTCAGAAGACGGCCCTAAGAGAGAGTGCAATCCGGAGGGTTGGGGACGAAAAGTACGTAGAGTATGTGATCTACTTTTATGGCAGTGACAACAAGCTTCACAACACGGGTTCATTTCTAGAGACGGTGGAGCAGGCCAGGGCAATGCTCAGGTGAACACAGGCATACTTGGTTTCCTCTCCTGAGACATCCGACGGTGCTTCAAATATTAAACACCAACCAACAAACAAACAGCTCTCTCGGCATCCCGCAGTTAAGTGACTAGTGTTCAGTGACTTATATCTAAATGTCACCTAATCGTCTGAGTCCCTATAGAGCCTCAATCAATAGCCAATCACCTTTCAATCAACAATCAGTCAACACTCAATCAATACTCAATTAACATTCATTCATCCAAGATACTCGAAACTCCCTGTCAGAATCAAACAGCCATCGGTCGCCCTCTTTTGCCTCATCAGATATCTAAGCATTACTCTCATAGAACAGCGAAGAGATCAGTTCCAACAACCAGCATTAGCACATGAGTACAACTCAGTCATTCCCCGTCAGTGAGTCAATCTTGGCCAGCCTTAACAAGATAGGTCTCAAGGATGCCTTTCAGTACCAGTATGTCGGTGCAACAAGTTTCAGGCAGAGAGACCTGTCAGTTTTTGTGGTTCATACGAAATTTGTGGGAGGTACCATTCATGACTTACGGATCTACCTGAAGAGGGGCAAGGAGACTCACGAGAACTTCGATTCAGTTTGGGTCTTTGCAGCCAAGTACCTTGAAGAGAGAAAAAAAGTGTTCGATGGGAACGGAACAAACTCATCCGTAGCTTCGGACCAAAGCTCTACACCGACTATCCCAAGCCTCAAGTACCCTTCCTTCTCACGGATGGCTCTAATTGGGGTGACCTGGTGGATCTAGCCAAGAGGTATATCTCGCCTGCAGTAATTGATAACGAGGCAGTGACTGAGTTGTTAAAGTTCCGGCATCTCAGGCGAGGGATCTTCTCTCAACCATATCTTCCTACCTTATGGGAGGAGTTTTGTGCTATGGTTGATTTCCGTATCATGGACTCAGATGGAGATGCTCGGAGCTAGCAGGCTTCATGTGGCTCTACATTCAGAGGCCACAGCCTCAGAGAGTACGGAGACATGGCACAAGGCACAAGAAACATACAACAAAATGAGAGATTGAGTGTATGACCCATAGGGATGGGTGAGGACTCCTGATTAGTGTTGGTTATACTCCTTATGTGTACTCTCTGAGATTATTTTGAGTTCTCATTCTTCCCTCACTTATCTTGTCATTGCCCGAGTCAGTCTTGTATTATCTACATTGCCCTTGTTTGATGATCTTGTTCGCTGATAATCATGTCACAGTTCTAAAAAAAAATAAAAAATTGGTAAAATTAATGCATGCATTACATATGAGAATTCTATGATTATTATTTGCATGATCTTTATTGTTCCGAATCAAAATAAAAGATTCCTAAGACCGGGGACAGACGAAGACCGCAATTGAAGGGTCTCGTTCGAAGCCGGACGCATACAACAGGAAGGGGTTTGCTTTAATTAATTTATTTTATTTATTGCAATTATCAACAAAATTCCGCATGACAACCTGTTGGCTTTCTGGTCGCCTGGAGTGGCCTGACTAGAAAAAAGTGCGATAGCGCGCGTCACGTTCGATCTTCTTGGGTTGACTCTCTCTCTCTCTCTCTCTCTCTCTCTCTCTCTCTCTCTCTCTCTCTCTCTCTCCCGCACGCGCGCGCTCACTCGGTTGTCACATTCGATCTTGGGATCTCGATATTGCAACTTTCTAGGCGTATCGGGGGGGGGGGGGGGGGGGGGGGGGGGGAGAGGGGAAAGCGACTCTCTCTCTCTCTGTCTCTCTCTTCTCTCTCTCTTCTCTCTCTCTCTCTCGCGCGCGCGCGCGCGCGAGCGCGCACACACTCGTCGCATCCGATCTCGGGCTCTCGGTATTGCAACTTTCTTGCGTATAGGGGGGGGTGGATAACAAGTCTCTCTCTCTCTCATTACTGCAACTTTCATGGCGTATAGGTGGAGGATGGCAATTTTTGCTCTCTCTCTCTCTCTCTCTCTCTCTCTCTCTCTCTCTCTCTCTCTCTCTCTCTCTCTCTCTTGATTTCTTTTGTTTTAATGGTTGAACGGAACTTGAACCTCGTTCCTTTTTTCTTTTTTTTCCCCCTCCATATTTGTTACATAGGTTTGTTTGACTTTTTGTTCATTTTTCGATTGCATCTTTTTATGTGATGGCACTGGCGATGGTCACGATGGGAGCGGTGGCAGCGATGGGACTGATGGCAGTGGCAAGGAGGATGAAGGCGAAGGCTGTTCGTCGGAGGAAGAGGGCGACTCCGAGTCAGAGCCCCTGTCTAAACTGTGCAAGACATCCCACTGATGCATGCGCGCGCGCGCACGAGAGAGAGAGAGAGAGAGAGAGAGAGAGAGAGAGAGAGAGAGAGAGAGAGAGAGAGCACTGACAGTGCTCCCAGTCTGAAAACTATTTAAGTTCAAACTTCGAAGTTGATTAAACTTTTTCAAACTTTTTTTGATTTTTTTTTCTATGTTTCTTTAGTCTTGTGCCTGCTTTGCACTGTTCGGAACTCTGTATGTCTGCGAGTTGAATGCGGTTGTTGATTTGCAGCAAGACAGGTGTTCTGCTGCATGAACTTCGAAGTGCAAAGCAGGTGAGTCTGTGCCAACTCCCTCCCCCCCCCTCCTCACACACACAAACCTTTTTTTTTTCCTTTTTTGTTTTTGGTCCGAACACCCCCGAACCACTGACACAGGTCCGGACTGTCTGGTGTCCGGTGGTGTCCGGTGTCCGGTGATGTCCGGATCATCGGACAGTCCAGACCAGTCCAGACACTGGTCCGGAAAACAGTCCGGAAGTGTCTGGTGACCGGGTCCGGGGTTACCACATATCCACTTAAGGGAAAATCTTTTTGTAACGGATGACCCTCGAAAGCATAATCTGTTAATATATGACGTAAATCAGGATGGCTGGAAAAATACACACCAAACGTATCCCATACTTATCGTTCCCACCAACCAGCTGCCGGAAATATTTTGACTACTCAACAGATGGTAGTTATTTCATCTACACGTGTATGTACACAAAGACACGAGTTATACTAAATAAATACTCGGTAAGTTATACACCACTTCAAATTACTGGAACAACTGGATGACTTGAATAAATTCATTGCCCTCCACCAGACCTGCACGTGCTGCTGTGGTCAGTTTCTCAAGGAAAAAGGGCCAAAGAGGTGCAAGAGGAGGCATTCGATACGAAATCTGGAGTGGAGAAGAGATTTCAGTAGGAGGTCGCCAGCATCAAGCAAAAGCAGTGAACGAATAGAGACGTGAAAAGCAGGCAGTGGAAATATTGCAAACACAGAGCCCCACCACCTTACACTTTTCTTTCGACTGTGGTCGGCTGCCTCGAGTCAACTACAGCAAAGACAGGGCTCTTGCTCCCACTATTTTCTATGCTTACTACATTTGATGTGACTGGAACTTCGTTGAGAAAGTGGGTCGGCTTTGTGATTGCATTTGCATGCAGTCATAGGGTGCAACAGCTGTGCCCCCCAAACATGAGACATGGAGGAATTCCAATCATGCACGAGAATTAACATATTGTGGGCATGGGCATACAGACAGTCAATCCTTCCATGAATCCATGGAAAGTAATCAATCTGTCAGGACTCCCTCGCCATCACGAGTATATTACAAGGTACATTTCTGACCCGCCATTGGACCCCAACCAGAATCATGGCTCCCCACAATGGATATGGAGCCTGGCCCATGAGGACCTGCTAAAAAAAAAAAACATGTCAGGGGCCTGAACTCATCGCGACAAACACGAGCCACAGTCAGAACCAAGTTTACACTCACATCAGAGAAAAGGACAGATGTGAAGTATTATAAAATCATCCTGCATTACATGCCCAAACAGTTGTGACGGGAACAAGGCGATGAAAACTTGTGACACAACTGCATTACATGCCCAAACAGTTGTGCCTACAGGCGGGTGCCTTTTGACTTGTCTATACTTGGGACAAAATTTAATGACATGGGTCGGGTCACCACAAAATATGCACTGACCGTGGTCCACGCGCTCCTGCCATATGCGCTGGTCCAAGCCCAAATCTTCCCAGGGCCTGCCCTGTGGCAAGCCTGGGTGCCATCCTCCTTGAGGTGCCCTTCCACCTCGTCGATGTGGGGACCGATTAGAACCTTGGCGATTTGACGGGGGACCTTGACCCCTACCTCCCACTTGGCGGTTTCCCTATCCGCCAACCCCCTGTGCGCCCGGTCCTCGGCCTCCCATGGCCTGGCCCCTTTGGCCCTGGCCTCCTCCTCTACCTTGCGGCCTCCCTCCAGCCGCGACAACAGCATAAGACCTCCCCTGTCCCACGCTACTGTCCTCTTCCTCTAGGCCCCACTCAATCTGACTGTATGGGACCTCATCAGTACCACCTTCCTCTAAGGTAAGAATCATGTGATCCTTGGCCCTCACCTGGCCTGAGATGGTACGCCCCTTCCACCTTTTTCCCTTATCCAAGTCCTTATGCCAGAAGGTGGTAACTGGCATGGACTTCGACTCATACATGATCACTTCTCTACTCAATGCATCATAGGTGATGCCGGCCTGTTGAGACTTGTCAAAGAAATGCCCACGTAGGGCCTCTGGCATGGCACGATAAAATAATTGGACCAATTGGGTCTCAGTGACCCCATGGTCTCGGACGGCTAGCAAGTCGTCCATGGTGCCCTTGAGTGCTCTCGCACTCCTCCACTGTCGCGAGTGGATAGTTTGTAGCTTATCAGAGGCGCGAACGCCTCTCGTTGGGTCTGCAAATCGCTCCTTCAGAAGCTTAAAGAATTAAGGAAGGGGGGTGACTCTTGAATATGCAACCACGTTGTTTTCACAATCGGCTGCGCGCACAAGGGACCTGGCAAAACTAGCCGCCTCATCCTTAAGGGCCTGGAAGCCCACGAGGACTTGTTCCTCTGACGGGATGTGCCGTAAATATATGTAACTATTGACACTGGCCTCCCACTTGTCAAAGTTCTCCTCCTTCTTTCCCGCGTATGCGTCTGGGAACTTGAGCTTTATAGGCTCTTTACGGGGTCTGACCTCGCCCTTTACAACGGCTATTGCTTTGGCACCCTCAATGGCGCCCTCACAGAACTTCATTACGTTGTCCCTCAATTGTCGGACTTCGCCCCCGATGTGGGTGACGATCTTGCGTGCAAAGTCTCTGAATCCCGACGACATGGCACTCAGGGCTACCTCTTGGCTCCAACTCGCTTGGCGCTCCTCCATCCATGCGGTGCTCAACACCTCTAGGTAGCCCAACACCTTATCCCACTTGGCCTTGTCATTTGGCTGGGCCAACACTTCCTTCCTATACTCCTGCACCTTTGCCACGTCTGCGGTCAGTTTGTTCACTTCCTCTCTCCTCCTCTTCTATCCCTCTTCATCCTTAACTTCCATGCCAACTTTTGTTCCTCCTCCCTTTCTCGCCGTTCCGAAGGATCTTTCATTGCTGCTAGCTCACTGGCTAGCGCATCCCTCTCCTCCTAAGTCACATAAGACTTTGCCTCCTCATCTTCTGCCAACGATAAATTAGCGACCCACTCACTTATCTTCTTCTCCATCTCAACGTCTGTATCCTTTTTCGTGCCGCTACTCACCTCTCTACTCTCAATACGCATCCTCTCTTTCTCCTCTTCTGCTGCTGCTTCTTCTTCGGCGGCCTTTTTCCTCTCTTCCTCCTCCTGTTGAACTCTCTTCATCTCCTCCTCTAACTTCTTCATCTTTGCCGCCTGCTCTTCTGCGATCGCCTTTAACTTCTCCTGCTTCAAGAGCTCCTTCCTCTCCTTGTTCTCTTTCACTAAGGCGACCATCTTTTCTTGCTGCTCCTTGGTGTAGGGGCTAGTGTCTATCCCACTACGGATCTCAACCATGGTGATAAGTGTACAACCGGATTAGTGGTTCCAAACCTCACCACGTAGACTCTGACCCCTGACTGACAAACCTATTGACCCGATCTAAGGACTTACAAAATCCTGACAAGGATCCTGCCAACTATGGTCTCTAGCCTAGACCTAGCTATGGCTGTCACTACTAGGCCTGTTGCTGATCAGGAGGCATTTAAGGAGATCCCCCGAACTCCTCAGGAATTATGTTACGTTGCAAATAGGACGATGCGATCAGCAGTCTCTCAAGACTTAGACGGTCTGTTGTACAGGCCACAACTCGGATTTCGAGGCCTACCGTGCCACACCGAGCAGCCCGCCAGTCAGTACCGGTCCTCGGGAGGGTTTGACCTCCGGGACAGTCGAGTCGTCAGGCATAGGTTTTTGCCCTCCTCATCCCGTGTGGGTTTTGTCAACAAGACCCTATCCTTCATCCACAGAGTACTATCACCTAGGACATAAGAGACTCGATGCAGAAAGAATAGACAGACAGACTGGACTCAGCAAGTACCAAGGGGTGTCTGCACATCCATAGGGCGAGGGGTAGGCTGAAGGCTTGGCGAGATGTTACCGGCTCCAGCTTGGTCAAAGTCTTGGTCAACGGCCTTGGTCAACGCCGATCAACGCTGCTATCTGCCCCCGGTCAACCCCCGGTCAACTCCGGTAACCGCCGGTCAACAGCTCCGGTCAACCCTCCGGTCAGCTATGGCTGTCGGCTCCTCTTCCTCGCCAACCCTCTTCTTCTCTTCACCTTCCTCGCCTCCTTTCACCCCGGCTGTCTTCTTCTTTTTTTTTTTCTTTTTTTTTTTTTTATCGGCCCTCTTTTCTTCTCTCGGCTATGGCCTCCTTCTCTCACTTGCTCGGTCTCTCCCCCTCTGTCCTCTCTTTCCCTCTTTCGTTACTCCGTGATGATGCTCCGCGGCTATGGCTGCTTCTTCTTCCTCCACGTGGGACTGCGCAGCTCGCTTCACAGGTAAGTGACAACCAAACTTGTATCGCTCATCTCTCTCTCTCTCTCTCTCTCTCTCTCTCTCTCTCTCTCTCTCTCTGTAGCGGTATCTCCAGCACAGCAGGTACGTAGTAACCCAATCTCGTATCGCTCAACCTC